GAATCGCTGTTGCCCTGCATAGCGTTCCGGGCAGCGGTCACAACCAGCAAGAGAATTCCCGGCTAACAGCTTCTCTCTGGCGGGGAAGTGCAAACGTGCACGTTTTCGGCCGAAAACGCGTTTTCGGCCGAAAACGCTCACCAAGCCCCATTCTGAGAAAAAGCAAGCACGGAGGACGAGAATCGCTGTTGCCCTGCATAGCGTTCCGGGCAGCTGCCGGCGCGTTTAGCCACTGGGAATCTGCCCAGGGCTTGGAACTGAACACCCGAGTAGTGCAGGGGGCAAAGAGAAAAAAATGCAGACCCCAAGCCTTGCTCCGGGGAAGGGACAGCCCCTGCAGCCACCCAGGCTGCCGAGCAGCTCTGTGGAGGAGGCCCTGGGGCCACAGTGGGCAGCGAGCTGGGCATGGCCGGCAGTGGCCCTGGCCACAACGAAGGCCCCCTCTCTCCTGGGCTGTATGAACAAAAGCCTGGCCAGTCACCCAGCACTCAGGAGACAACAGCTGTGAGTTGGTCAGGTTTGGGCAGCCCCAGCAGAAGAAACGCAGCAATAAACTGGAGCAAGTTCAGATGAGGGCATCAAGGGCACCGAGGTGTCCTGGGCTGCAGCACTGCCCTGTCCTGCAGGCTGAGGGGCAAGGGCTGGTTCAGCCTGGGGAAGGCACTGTTCAGGGGACACCAAAGAACAGCCCCCCAAAGCCTCTGTGTCTGGCATCGAGAAGATGGGGCCAGGGTCTTTGGGCAAGACAAGAGACAATGGGAATAAGTTGAATTGCGAGGCTGAGAGTCTTCCCCCTAAGGACAGTCGAACTGTGGAGCAGGCTCCATCCTTGCAGGGTTGCAAGTCCCAATGGGACAAAGCCCTGAGAGACCTGCTCTGAGATTCCTTGTGACCCTGCTGCAAGCAGGAGACATCCTGAGATCCCTTTTGGGCTGTATTGTCCTATGATACTATATTTTTTTTTTCCCCCAGCGAATAAGGGTTTTTTTCAGTTAATCTTTATTAAAAGTGATCTAATTTAGATAGTAACATGAGCTCGAATATGTCCTTTAAAAGTAATTTTGCGAATTGTATGTATGATTGCTGAACTTAGATCTGAACCTGTTTGTCAGCAAACCAAGCAATAGTAAAACAAGTTTTACCCACTGTGAATGAGCACCGTCTAAATATTAAAGGACAAATCACTTTCCAAGTCCTTTCAGTTGCTGACATCTCAGTTCAGGCTGCCAAATAGTACTGGTCCACCGAGTAACTGCTTCAGACTAGCACCAAGTCATTTCATATAGGTTGTGGAGAGCCACCGTGAGGCAGACTTAGGTCTGTTGCAAACCTGCAAACTGGACCGAGTCCAGCAGGTTGCACTGAGAGAGCTCTGTAACCTCTCACCCTCGTTGCTCCCTTGCCTCCCATCATATCGTCCTCTTTCAAAAGAATTTAAACACAGACCCTGGGAATGTCCTTTCCAGTACTTTGCTGGGAGTCCTAGATCAACCTCAGCTTGTCTGTGACTCTGCTGTACAGTATTCTCTGTCTGCTTAGTACTTTCAGCCTCTTTGAGTATCACAGTTTCATAAGTTCTCCTCAAATTGAGCCACTTCAATGGCTTGCTGTGCTTCTGCCTCCAGTGGTTTCTTGTTAGTGTCCCAGACATTGCTACAGGTGACAGCATTGGACCCTGCAGTAATGTCTTAGTGAGCTTCCATTTTAAACTGATGACAACAGCAGGGTCTGCCAGATACATCCAGAATCTCTGAGAACCTATCTCTGGCTCTTTCTACAGAGATCTCAGGACTGGGGAGACAACTCTTTGTTGTAATCACCAATTCTCAAGCATAACAATCTTTTTCACCCTAATAACATGCAAAGGCATTCTTGACCTGTGAACCACCAGTAACCTGACACACTGAATTTGATTCAGCAGGGTATAAATTCTTTGTTTGTTTTCTTAAAAAAAAAATATGTGATAAGTTTTCAGAAAATTATCTCCTGGTCCATATTAATGAAATTACAATTGTCTCCACTTGTTAGAATGAGCTGAGTGTATGTAGCATGTACCATTCATTCTCAAGAGGTAAAAATCCATCAATACATCTGCTTCTTTTTTTTTTTTTCTCTCTAAATATATATATGAGGAGGGATGCAGAAGAATAGCTTGAGTGGTAAATGGAAGCTTTAGATTTTCTCAGGAAATTGGGTTAGACCCACTAAAGGATACATCTCTTAGAAGTATTGAAGGACCTATGTCTGATGTACTACAGTTTCAGTGCATGATGAAATAGGTGGAAAATCCAGCACTGACTCAGAGCTTTGAAAAATGCTGATATTAACTATAGCTTCGATGAGTTTCCCATTACAGTGGATATTAAAGTGACTTAAAATGGATCAAAATTAGTAGGCCAAAGTAACTCATAGTGGATAACAGTGCATATGTAGTAGTATAATTTATGTAAGTACCTAAATAATGAACTGATGCATGAAACCACATTAATCCTTTCAAATGCAAGCTTCCAGTTTTGGCTTAATGACACAGCACCCTGGAGCTAGGGCTTCTTGTCTTCACACTTTTCAGTTTGACCCATTATCCCTGGGTCTCCTAGCACAGGTGGTGCTGAAGGCTGCAGAGCATTACCAGAGCCCTGATCCAGCTTATTTCAAACCACAGTGTCAACACCAGGCCTCCAATGCAGAAAAGAGGTGCAGGAAGGAGAGCTGTGCCTGCCCTAGGTCCTGTCCCCATTTTGAAGGCGCCAGCTCTGCAGACATTGTACCTTTGATGTCTAGTAAGCAAACTGACTTTAGTGGAGGTCAGGCTCCAGTGCTTGCTGTCTTAGGCTTTTCATCCTGTGTTTTTAATATATCCATGAAAGAAAAGAAAAAAAAAATAAAATAAATTAGACATCATTTTTGGTTTTCAGCATTCCTGGTCATGAATACCAGAGTAAGGGTGCTGAATGTTCCACCTGAAAGTGGAAGTTACACCCTCCATTGTCACAGAACACTTGTGCACACTCAGACATACTTAAGTGTCCTTGTTATGCTCGCCTGTCAAATACTAAACATCAAAATTCACTTCTGTAAATGCAGCTCAGTATAATCTATGCATTTGATGGAACATTGGTAGGCACCATTCCGCTGGTGGAGCAGCTGTTGAGTGCTTTAAGCGGTCATGTAGTTTTGGGGGGAGAGGGGGGATGCCGAGCACTAACACATGGCAACAGTGCTCAGACATGAATAAATGTATTTTACTGATATATTTTACAGCAGTGATATAATGCCAGTGCCGCTTACCCGTGCTTTCCATAGCATGTAAAGGCTCTCGCCTCCAAGCTCTTTTTGACTCGCACCTTTAGCGCCTGACCAAACTCACCTCAACCAAACTGATGCTGCGTTCACGGTAAAGCTGTGACCTCTGCTGGACATCCAAAATATTACTGCTATATTGCTAGCAAACGGTACCTATATTCGGTTCTTGTTTTCATATCTTTAACGTTTTTACTGAAAATGGGGGGGGGGGGGGGGGGGGGGGGGGAGATGTTGGTGTTTCCTACATGAAGAAAACCCCTAAAACAGCCCACTAATCTTATAAAAAGTCAGATGTGGAGTAACAGGGAAATAATAGTATATTCAATAACAAAGAAGGCAAGTAACACATGAGAATGTAACAGGTAAAAATGGCAGATAGATTACACCCCTGTATAGCTGTTAATAAACATGATTTTGTCATTTTGTGAGGGAAATGATAGCAGATCTCCAACTGAAGAGCAGCAGACACAGGCATCACCTTTTGGCCTAAGTGAGGGGACACTCAAACTTTCCACATCAGAAAAGACCCGCAAGCAGCAGTAACAGCCAGCCCAGCCATGGGGCTCTTACACTGCCCCAACCTGTCTAGTGCTTTCCTGGCTTGTGCTGCATACCTGGACTTACCATCAAAAAGACCATTTTTACCACGATATACCAGTCCTTTCAGTTTTGATGGAGTACACTCAATCTCAAGTCTTTCCAAATCCATCAGAGCTTCTCTTCTCCCTATTCCAGTCCCCCATCCAGTCCTCCACCTAGTCTGCTGCCCTATTGTCCTCACCCAGCAAGCTTCTTTCTCCATATATGTCTTCTCACAAAATAAATACCAAACTAAAAGTGTGTCTACAAAACCTAGAAGTTTTAGGAAGCAGGGCTCTATTCCCAGCTTCCTCTACAAATCCTCAGGCTAAGATCAAGCTAGTTTTGTGTTTCCTTCAGACCAACAGGTCACCTACTGTCCTGGGTTTGAGTGAGTGATGGGGGGTTTTGGTAGCAGGGGAGGGGGCTACAGCTCCTCTGGCTCCAGGTCAGACCCACCTTTGCACCAAGGCCAGGCCAATTAGCAACAGTGGCTGCTCCTCTGTGATAACGTATTTAATGGGAACCTGGGAGGAGTGGTGGGACTTGCGAGGAGTTGTAAGGAAAACATCAGTGTGAACACTGAGGTCAGTGGATGGAAGGAGGAGAAGATGGGGGAGGTGTGCCAGAACACCCTGTGTCCTGTGGTGAGATGGCAGGGCCACCCTCCCACTGCTACCCATGGAGGTTCACTGTGGAGTAAATACTGATTTGTGACCTGTGTGGGGTCCCACGACGGAACAGGTGACTGTGCCTGAAGAAGGCTGGGACCCTGTGGGAAGAAGCCCCTGCTGTTGCAGTTCAGTGCGGGGAGGATTGCAACAGGTGGGGGTGACTCACAAGCCCATGGAAGTGACTCATGTCAGAGTTGGTTTGTGAAAGACTGTCTCCTGTGAGGGAGGAGCTGCGCTGGAGCAGGTGACAAATGACAGAAGTATTCCCCATCCCCAGATGGAAGAAGAGGCAGGACTGACTGCACACCCCACTCCCTTCCCCCCCTGCACTGCTGGGAGGGAGGAGGAGGTAGAGATATCGGGAGCAAAGCTGAGCGCAGGAAGAAGGGAGCAGTAGGGAAAGGTGTTTTCAAGATGTGGTAATGCTTCTCACTGTCCTACTCTGTCTGTTACATGTTGCTGTTGTTGTTAGTGTCTGTATAAAATTTTATGTTCTTACTTTCTTCCCTTAAAAAGTCTTGGGTTTGCCTGTGCCTTAAAGGGTGATGTCATCCCTCCCTATCCTTATCACAAGTTCCTGGATCTTTTGCTTCCCTCCTTCTCAGTGCTGGTGGGGAAGGGAGGAGTGAATGACCACATGGTGCTTAGTTGCCCTCTGAGCTCAAACCATGACACCTACCTAATCTTTGTATTATTTTTTTCCACTGAACCTGACACAGATGTTGCCAATCTCCATGCCTAGTAAACCAGCTCCCTCTGTTTATACACTTCATTCACTTTCTCCACAGAGATACCACCTGCCAAGACCAAACATCCACCACCTGGAGGCAGCAGGGACATTTAACTTACTGAAAAAGCAGTGAAGTAAGACTTTTTGCATCATCTTCTGTTTCTAAAAAATTAAACCTTCATATTACAAGTCTCAGTCAAAAATGCTGCTGTGGAAATAGAGCAGTACTCTTCTGAATGAAGTGTTCTACTGTTTTGTTAAAAAAATCGAGTGTTCCCACAAATATAACTGAAATGCTATAGGATGAACAACACTTAATTGGCTGCATAGATCTGATTATTACAGATTGTTGTGCAGATGGGCACAAAGCCCTAATTTCTGTCATCTTTTCAGATTTTATGATAAAAAGGACAAAATCACCTCTTGCATTAATTTTGGTTGTTTAAGGTTTTGTACAGGCAACATCACACGGCATCAAGTAGCCAGAAAAGTTTCTTTGTAAGTGTTGCTGAATTCACACCACTGGTTCATTTTTCCTCCTGCAGGTGCTAGTCTTAAAGCAAGAAACTAGATATGTTGATCTAATAATAGAAAAACATCTTTATAATAATAGATAAATGTTTCTCTCCTGTTCTAAGAAAAGAAAGGATTACTTTAGAATCATAGAATAGTTTGGGTTGGAGGGCACCTTTAATCTAGGCAACTAGTCCAACCTCCCTGCAATGAGCAGGGACATCTTTCCAGTATATCATGTTGCTCAGAGCCCCATCCAACCTGACCTTGAATGTTTCCAAACATGGGGCACTTACCACCTCTGTGGGAAATTCGTTCCAGTGTCTCACCAGCCTCATCATAAAAAAAATTATTCTTTATGTCGGTCTATATCTATCCCCTTTTAGTTTAAAACCATTACCCCTTGTCCTGTTGCTACAGGCCTAATACTGACATCTTTCTTATAAGCTCCCTTTAAGTATTGAAAGGCCACAATAAGGTCTCCCCAGATCCTTCTCTATGCTAAGCTGAAAAACCCCAACTCCCTGACCCTTTCCTCACAGGAGAGGTGTTCCATTCCTCTGATCATTTTTGTGTCCCTCCTCTGGACACACTGCAGCAGGTCCATATCTTTCCTGTACTGGGGACCTGGACACAGTACTGCAGGTGAGATCTCACAAGAGAGGAATAGGGGAAGAATCACCTCCCTTGACCTGCTGGCCACACTTCTCTTGATGCAGCCCAGGATACAGATGGCTTGCTGGGCTCTGAGTGCACATTGCTGGCTCATGTCCAGCTTTTCATCCACCAGTACCCACAGGTCCCTCTCTGCAGGGCTGCTCTCTATCCCTTCATCCCCCAGCTGAGACGGGGAGTCTAAACAATCTTAGACTGATGGTGCAAGGCTTTCGCAAAAACAAAAGGAGGTGTACGGGGCTGTTCACAAAGACATACCAGGTGCTGATAATGTTACTAGGCTACTATCTCCTAGCCCAAAGAGAGGTCTCCTCTGGTCCTTGAATCTGTGGATATCAGCAACAGACTATCCCAAACACCAGCACAAAGTGGCCTGGCAGTTTAGTCAGAAGCCAGAGAACAACTGAGGCTGCACAGAGCGACAGGGTGAAAAGTTCATCAGCAAGGAAGAGGAGGTACTTCATCTTTATGACCCCACCCCAGGAATTTGCAACCCCTGCCCGGAGCTTGAAGAGCTCATCATGCAGGCGCAAGAGGAAGAGACCTGATTACCATGAGAAGCGAGGGGAGGCGGGGGTAGACTATGTATATGTATAGGCGTTCTCTGAATATGCACTATTTTGTAACATATAAGCCAGACGGGAGCTGCAAATGGTGCGCATGCTTGTGGTGGAGCTATCCCCCATGCGCCCAGGGCTGAATAAACATACCCACTTTATAACTCCAAAGTTATAGAGTGATTTCTCCGCAAGTCACAGCCTGCATTGATAGAGGGGGTTACCAGACCCAGGTGCAGGACCTTGCACTTGGCCATGTTGAACCTCACAAGGTTCACATGGGCCCACCTCTTGAGCCTGTCCAGGTCCCTCAGACCTTTAAAGGTTTTACAGAGATGGCTGGTTTTAGTCAACTCTTTCCTTTTATATATGTGGGAGGTTGAAAGAGGTAATTTTGAAAATTACCCCTTTGGAGCACATAAGAGCCCTCATAGATGAAGAACCAAGTACATCAGAGGCCAAAGGAAGGGGAGAAATACTGCACCAAGCAACTCCTAGTGGAGAAACTGCATATTCTGCCTTGTTTTGATTCAATAGATGGTAGACCCTACCTTGTAATGTAAATGGATGTTGCTGTCCATGACACCTTGTAATCTGGCATCAGCTAAAAGCATCAGTCAGCCAATGCAACTGAGTGTTTGAGATCAGGACACAACTGACTATCCTTGAAACTGGTTGTTTGAAAAGGCTCCTGTATCCTCTTCTCACCTGAAAACACAGTGCTATTCTCTTCAGCAAGGTTTGCTTTCACTGACACATTTAAATGGAAATATTCAGCAAGTTCAAGCACTTTTTCCTCTTCACAAATTGTTTATTTACACAGTTGCTTAGATTCCAATACTGCATTTATCTAGCCATGTGATGCCTCAATTAAAGATAGTCACATATAATTAATTCAACATAGCATTGCATATTTGTGTTTCATATTTTAAACAAGACCTACATCTTCTTCCTCTCTCTGTCCAACAAGACTAATAGAGTTATGATGAGAAAAGTTTTTTCATGCTTATCTTCAACATGACAGTACTAGAAAAAGTTATGCTCCTGAGAGACCCACCTCTAGTGTGCATCACAAAAAAAAAAAAAAAAAAAAAAAAAAAAAAAAAAAAAAAAAAAAAAGAGAGAAAAAAACCAATAAACCTGCATTGCCCATTCTATGTTTAGATTGTGGTGAGCTGCAAGTGTGGAAAGAATGTGTCTGGGACAGCTAGCATCCCCCCACTTCCCCAGGCCTATGCCAAAATCTGCATAATTCACATCATAGTGGGAGCTGAGAAGAGCCATCCAAAGCAGCTTATGGGGGGTAGCTGACATGTCAGTGAACCTCCTGCTACACCCCAGCTCAGGAATCCCTCAGAAGCACTGGGAGGCATGATGATTTGGGGGTTTTGGTTGATTTTTATTTTAATTAAGGACTGCTGAAAGCCACATTTTCTTGGCAATGCTTTCTTTCTTTCAGAACAGAATTTTATCAGGACAACTTTTTCAGGAACCTTTCCTGGGATTTCTATGTGTCCGTAGGCCCAGCAACTGAAACCTCATTTTGCATTCACAGCAGCTCTGACTCGTTACTGTATGACTGGAAAATCTAAATACATTCACAGCCCATATACACCATGGCTGCACAACACCCAGCTCAGTAAATCCTGTTTTCAGGCCACATTGGACAGATTGTGAATGGATGTTCAATTGAAATCTGTGTGCCAGGAAGTCTGCAATGTCAGATTTACTATCCTTGATCATACACCTTTGTCCAGGAATGCCTGAAAACCTTACTGAGAATTATGACTTAAGACAAGCACTCAAGGCTAGAAAATTACATAAATGACACAAAAAATCATATTTGCTAATAATTCAAGCCAGAAGAACAGCAACAAATCCAAGCATCAAAAATCCCATGTTCTGGTTCTCCATCCACTCAACATTGCAGCCCTCCATCTGCTACCAATAGTCGCCTCAAGTAAGTCTCAGTGACAAATAAATCTGGGAGTTTCTTGTGATATAGCTGTTTTTCATCCCCACTCACCTTAGTTTCTTCATATATTTTTTCCTCGATATCTGTTAATGTGCTGCACAGGGGCCCCTCTCCCCTAGCAGAAAAAAACTACTGAAAAACAGTCTTGTTTTGCCAGTTCTCCAGTCCAACCAGAGGACATTAAAAACTGGATTGAATGATAAAATTGGCTTTCCCAGTGTCAATGCCTCCATACAATGATAAAGTGAATTTTTGAACAGCTGAACATAACCTGACCAGCATAACGTTAAAGAATCTGATTTTTATTTTGTTGCATACTGAATTTTTTCAGAGATGCCAATGAAAGCTAAAAACCAAATGCTTAAGACCACTGAACTGTGTGTTACAATGAAAGAAGAACACAGCCTTTCCTTAGCACAGATGCTGCCAGAATTATTCATTTCACTGGGTAATTCTACAGCATGAAGAAATGTTATTCACAAAGAAGGCAGATGTGTTGTCCTATGTCAAGTGCCTCTTGTATCTCAGCATAAGACTGTATAATGGAACTTTTATTGCAGAGATGTGCCTGGTTAAATGAAATCATCTGACACTTCATTAGTTCTTTGTGTCTTCTGAAAGAGGTGTAATGGAAGAAACAACTTGAGAATGAAAACTCAAATGGTCAACCCAGACCTTAAATGTGTAACTCTTGAGTTTTTCCATGTGCTTTTTCCTGCCTTAAAAAAAAAAAAAAAAAAAAAAAAAAAAAAAA